ATAGTACAACGGAACAATCAAAGAATATTAGGTGATCAATCAAAAACCGGTCTGAATAAATCAATGTCACGTCATTTCATTTCGTTCAAAGTGATTCATAAGGGATATGTATGTAATTTTGTGTGTATGTATGCATTGTTAATGACGAAAAATGTGTGACCTTTGTAATGACAAAGGATAGAGTTTAATTTGTAATGTAATGGTGTGAGATTGTAAATAATATTAGACTGGTTGACTAGGATAGATAGTCCAAGTGGGATGTATGGTAAGGCCTTCTTTTCTATTGAGGGCCGTAGGATTAAGCATTATATGGAGAGCTTCTGCTACTCTTCTTTCTTTGTAGTTAGAAAAACCTTTTTGTAGTATTTTGATATTTTTGAAATCAATTTGATGACTGTTGAAAATGGCGTGAACTGCTATTGCCGATTTAATCTGAAGTCTATCTAATTCTACAGGATTATTAGGCGGTTTCTTTGTGTACCTGATATGTTCTTTAGCGCGCGTTAAGATTTCGCGAGATGACTCTCCAATATAGAAGGCATCACAATCGACACAACCTAATTTGTAGACGCAGTTCTGTGTCGACATGAATGGTATTTTTTCTTTTAATCGAACTAAAGTATTTCGAAGTGTGTTAGTTGTTTTGTAATATACTTTAATTCTGTGTTGTCTTAATATCCGTTGGAGTTCTTCAGTTGTGCCATGACGGTATGGTAAGACTGCAGTACCAATCCATGGCAGTTCATTCGAATTATTATTATTATTGTGTATTGAATTGTCTTGTTTTAATATACTTCTAATAATCTTCATAGGAAAATTATTAAATTGTAAGATGCTAATTATATTCTTTTGTTCTTTTTGTTTGTCTTCTTCTGAAGTGATGATCTTGTTGGCTCTTCTAACAAGATTTAAGGCTAACGAAATTTTAGCACTGAAAGGATGTGCTGAATGGAAGTCGATGTAACTGCCATGATGAACTGCCATGGATTGGTACTGCAGTCTTACCATACCGTCATGGCACAACTGAAGAACTCCAACGGATATTAAGACAACACAGAATTAAAGTATATTACAAAACAACTAACACACTTCGAAATACTTTAGTTCGATTAAAAGAAAAAATACCATTCATGTCGACACAGAACTGCGTCTACAAATTAGGTTGTGTCGATTGTGATGCCTTCTATATTGGAGAGTCATCTCGCGAAATCTTAACGCGCGCTAAAGAACATATCAGGTACACAAAGAAACCGCCTAATAATCCTGTAGAATTAGATAGACTTCAGATTAAATCGGCAATAGCAGTTCACGCCATTTTCAACAGTCATCAAATTGATTTCAAAAATATCAAAATACTACAAAAAGGTTTTTCTAACTACAAAGAAAGAAGAGTAGCAGAAGCTCTCCATATAATGCTTAATCCTACGGCCCTCAATAGAAAAGAAGGCCTTACCATACATCCCACTTGGACTATCTATCCTAGTCAACCAGTCTAATATTATTTACAATCTCACACCATTACATTACAAATTAAACTCTATCCTTTGTCATTACAAAGGTCACACATTTTTCGTCATTAACAATGCATACATACACACAAAATTACATACATATCCCTTATGAATCACTTTGAACGAAATGAAATGACGTGACATTGATTTATTCAGACCGGTTTTTGATTGATCACCTAATATTCTTTGATTGTTCCGTTGTACTATTTAAACTTGGATTAATATTAATTTGGTTATTTATTCTCTGAAGAAGTGGCTTACACTGAGTCACGAAACGTCAGAAAATCTAATTTTTCTACTCATTGGGATATTACAAATATATAATTTATTTATAACAATCTACCCAATGCTCAATTTATTCAAAATTATCAAATCAAGTCTTGGTAATGACACCTACAAACTCATTAATAACCGGATTAAATTATCCAAGTGTAAATGCAATTGGTACAATCACAGAATATTTAATAAACGATGTTTACAAGACAACATTATTCCGAAATCTCTTTTTGTAAAACCTCCAGAACGTTCCTGGAGATCTATCCAAACTTCTCAAAGGTCATCCCGAATATTTTTACGAGAACGTATTCACAAATGTACATATTTACTTGAAAAATATCGGGAACGAATCAAAAACCTAGATGATCTACTGAAGGTTTTGATTCCCACAGATTTACAAACCGCGATTTTTAACCTATTCATAGAAAGAGAACGCCACTATTTAGATTCATCAAAACGCCGACAAATTAAAAAATTTGAAAAGATCAAAGAAAGGAAGAAAGATAAGAAAACGTCAGCCATAAAATCTGATCCGAATGATCTAAGAATCGTTCATAATTTGTCTGACAGAAACTTAACGAATCATGAAATCATCCTACTGGAAAAAGGATTAAATTTCAATTTACATAGAAAACCACTTAGCACCCTTGAAGTTGCTCCAATTTTAGAGCCAATAATCGCAACACTACCAGAAAAAGAATCGCATTTATTACGTCAAAAGACTTCCCATATCTTGACTAAACAACAACACCTTACACCAAACATCTCAAAAGAAGAATACAAGGCCCTACATTCGCTTAAAAAGGATAAAACGATCATAATCACGAAAGCAGACAAAGGTAACACAACAGTAGTCATGAATAGAACAGACTACATTAATAAAGCTCTTGAACATCTTGCAACAGGACCTTATGAAAAGATCAATCAATCAAAGTCGCAAACGTTAAAAAATAAAGTCAAATCAGATACAAGTGAACTTTTGAAAGAGCTAAAACCAGTCATTGGGGCTTCGCTTTGGTTTGCTTTGTATCCCAAATCATGTAATACTTCACGGTTTTATGGTTTACCGAAAATTCACAAACCAGATATTCCTCTAAGACCGATAGTAGATTTTACCAACACACCGACATATGCTTTATCTAAATATCTAAGCAACATATTAAAACCACTACAGCTTAACGTACATAATATGATTAAAGATACATATGACTTTAAATCAAAATTATCGGATTTAATTATTGAAAAGAATGAAGTCATGGTAAGCTTTGATGTTGTATCTTTATATACTAGTATTCCGATTGATATATGCTTAGAATTCATTAGTGGCTTACTAGAGAATGACATTACTCTATCGGACAGATGTCCTTTAAGCATCAGTTTAATCATGAGATCGTTAAAACTCTGCTTAAATTCAACTCTATTCACCTTCAACGGAACGTTATATAGACAAACAAATGGTGTAGCAATGGGTTCTCCCGTGTCCCCGATTGTGGCCAATCTTTTTATGGCACACATAGAATCAAAGATTTTCTCCAACGAAATTAAACCACGAATTTGGCTCAGATATGTAGATGACACATTTGTAGTAATAAAAAAGACGCATCTGAGATCGTTTTCAAAACTGTTAAATACACTTTCATCTCACATCAAATTCACGAATGAGAATGAAAATGAACATGGAGAGCTACCATTCTTAGATTGCTTAGTGAAAAGAAATATAAATGGAGTTCTAAATTTATCCATCTACCGAAAGCCCTCACACTCCAATCGTTACATCGACTTCCATTCAGCACATCCTTTCAGTGCTAAAATTTCGTTAGCCTTAAATCTTGTTAGAAGAGCCAACAAGATCATCACTTCAGAAGAAGACAAACAAAAAGAACAAAAGAATATAATTAGCATCTTACAATTTAATAATTTTCCTATGAAGATTATTAGAAGTATATTAAAACAAGACAATTCAATACACAATAATAATAATAATTCGAATGAACTGCCATGGATTGGTACTGCAGTCTTACCATACCGTCATGGCACAACTGAAGAACTCCAACGGATATTAAGACAACACAGAATTAAAGTATATTACAAAACAACTAACACACTTCGAAATACTTTAGTTCGATTAAAAGAAAAAATACCATTCATGTCGACACAGAACTGCGTCTACAAATTAGGTTGTGTCGATTGTGATGCCTTCTATATTGGAGAGTCATCTCGCGAAATCTTAACGCGCGCTAAAGAACATATCAGGTACACAAAGAAACCGCCTAATAATCCTGTAGAATTAGATAGACTTCAGATTAAATCGGCAATAGCAGTTCACGCCATTTTCAACAGTCATCAAATTGATTTCAAAAATATCAAAATACTACAAAAAGGTTTTTCTAACTACAAAGAAAGAAGAGTAGCAGAAGCTCTCCATATAATGCTTAATCCTACGGCCCTCAATAGAAAAGAAGGCCTTACCATACATCCCACTTGGACTATCTATCCTAGTCAACCAGTCTAATATTATTTACAATCTCACACCATTACATTACAAATTAAACTCTATCCTTTGTCATTACAAAGGTCACACATTTTTCGTCATTAACAATGCATACATACACACAAAATTACATACATATCCCTTATGAATCACTTTGAACGAAATGAAATGACGTGACATTGATTTATTCAGACCGGTTTTTGATTGATCACCTAATATTCTTTGATTGTTCCGTTGTACTATTTAAACTTGGATTAATATTAATTTGGTTATTTATTCTCTGAAGAAGTGGCTTACACTGAGTCACGAAACGTCAGAAAATCTAATTTTTCTACTCATTGGGATATTACAAATATATAATTTATTTATAACAATCTACCCAATGCTCAATTTATTCAAAATTATCAAATCAAGTCTTGGTAATGACACCTACAAATAGTTAATGTTGATATGACTCATATAGAATGTTAACTTGAATCTGTATATACGTAAAATGAAAATTTAAGATCTGTGATCAGAATATAAATATGGGTCAGATAGGGTGAGAGCGATATGATAGTGCAATTACAATTCGATCAAGTGGAAGACTAAATGTGTGAAAAATTAGTGAGACGTAATAAGGAGGGATCAATGCGATGTGAATGAATCATGTCTAGGGGGGATTAATAATGATATTTAACCAATAATAATAATAATAATAATAATAATAATAATAATAATAATAATAATAATAATAATAATAATAAAATACAAAGATTTGTGAATAAAGATAAGAGAGACAATTACATTTGACTACGAAAGGTCGTAAGTACATAGTCAAATTAGGTCATACAATAGCTAAGATGATTGTTCATTAATTGGCCTTGTGGTTGGCCAAGGGAGAAGTAGGGGTTGGAGATATTTCTTCTGTACACATAGCTCAGGTTTCTTCATTCTGATGGCTACTGCCTCCGCCGTTTGAAGGACTTTAAGCCTGACAAGCTTAGGCAAAAAATTACTGACCCTATAAATAATTGAAAAAGATTGGTTTATACTGGCACTATGACCAGTTTGTACTAAATGGGCCAAAATCGAGCTGTTTACTTTCTTCATCAGACCTTTGCTTAGCCACGCTGGGAGGTGTTCACGAGCACGAAAATGTAAATTCCTAGAACTTCGACCAATATAACTTGCTCCACAGGAGCAGTCGAACTGATAAATACAAAATGAAGTGGTCATTCTAGGAACTTCATCTTTAAACCTCGGTGTCACCATCGGACGCGTAGAAAACACCAAACGTAGTTCACCTGCGTTGAAAGATTTTTGGATAGATCTGCGTAATCTCTGAGCAAGTATTTCGCCAGCGGCATCCCCCCTGAATTGTAGGCGCATGAACAAGGACTTTTTCTTGACCGTTTGGAATTCGCCTATTTTCACTTTAAAGATCATATATTTAATTATAAATTTTCTGGGATATCCGTTCTCCCTTAGAGCATTATGCAATGTGTTTAGCTCATTGTCAACTACATCCGCCGAACATATAGTGCGTATTCGATAGCTAAGGGTCTTGATTAGGTTTCGTTTGTACTGTAGAGGTACAAAGCTTAGGAAGTGTGTATACTGCCCAGTCCAAGTACTTTTTCTGTTCATGTTTCTTCTTAACGATCCATCAGATCTCTTAGTTAAGAGGACGTCTAAAAAGGCTAATCGGCCATCACTCTCTTCCTCCGATGTAAACTGGATGGCTGGATGCACTTCGTTAAACTGCCTAAGCACATCTTGTTGTGAAATATTATCTTTACACAGGATGAATGTGTCATCCATATATCTGCAGTAAAATTTGAATTCTTGAATAATCTTTTTCAGATGACCATTCTCTAATTTAGCTAGAAATATATCAGCTAGTATAGGGCCCAGAGGTGAACCCATTGCCACACCATCTGTTTGTCTAAATATGTCACCGTTGAATTTGAAATTTACATTCATGGTGCATTTCAGTAATAACTCTTTCAAGACATTAATCGGAACAGTAGTTTCAATTTTATTTTCAATCAGTTGTTCCCCTATATATTCTACTGTCTCAAGAAGTGGGACATTCGTGAATAGTGATGTTACATCCAAAGACATCATCTTTAGTCCCAAAGTATTGACATTTTTTACTTTGTCAACAAATTGAAATACATCCTTAACACTATGTTTTACCAGCTTTTCGTGGAGAGGTTTCAATAAAGTTACCAACCATTTAGCTATAGTATGATAAGGAGAGTTATACATATCTAAAATAGGTCGTAATGGGATCCCCGGTTTGTGTACCTTTGGTAATCCATACAGTCTTGGCAGATAGGTTCCAACTGGTTTAATCATTTCATATAGACCAGACGAAATAGTCTGGTTGTCTCTGAGCTTCTTCAAAGAACTAGTAAGCTCTTTCTCTATTTTCATATTGAGATCTTTATGGTTAGTTATTTTTTGGAATTTCAATTTGTCATTTAAGATGGTCCCCATTTTATCAATATAATCGTTTTTATTGAGAAGAACCACTCCTGAACCTTTGTCAGGTTTCGTAATCAATAACGTCTCATCCTTTAGGAGAACGTTAATAGCTTCCTTATGCCTTTTTGTAAGAATACTTTTGTAATTAAATTTATTGTTTTTATACTGGTAGCAACAGTCCACAAGAGTAGATTTAAAGTGCTCCAGTTGTTGATCAGAATTAGCCACTAAATCACGTGTCTGGCTGTATAGATTCTCAAACTGTATATCAGTATCTATGTGGTTACAATTATTACGGGTATCACAAAACTTTAGACCTAAGGATAATACCTCTAGTTTATCGTTATCCAGTTCGACATCCGATAAATTATGGACATACCTTTTAGAGTCCGTTGGAAATTTGCTTTCAGCTGTCTGATGTTCCAGACCTTTCAAAAGCTGAATGAGTTTATTTCCTGATCTATGATCCATAACATTAGTAACATAGTTCATGAAAGGTATTTTTAATTCCTCCGTTAAGTCATCCACTGCATACTTTCTGCGGAAAACATTCATCTGTATCTCATTTATGTCTGAATGCAGGGCGTCGATCTGATTTAGGGCGTGACGTTTCAGCGTTTTCCGATTGGGGTAGACACCGTTGCGTCGCAGTGATGTATAGTACAATTTCGGATAGTGACCTGACTCGATGCACTTGTTAATAAAATCAATTGTAGTTTTCGTTTCAGTGAACTTTACGTTATACTTCAGGAACTCATTGAGCACCTTCAACGCAATGGGTTGTTCACAACATTTTAATCGTTTAAAAATCCCAATCATATTAAAAGACTAATATTTGAACGAAGAATATTCTTTTCGATAAATTCTCTTCAGGTTCTACAATTATATATCCAAATTAATAATCCGAAAAATTGGCCAGGTTAAAGGCAAAGTACATAGTTTAATGCATGTAAATTTAGGATTGTCAAACCAAATAGTTAATAAATAAATTATATATTTGTAATATCCCAATGAGTAGAAAAATTAGATTTTCTGACGTTTCGTGACTCAGTGTAAGCCACTTCTTCAGAGAATAAATAACCAAATTAATATTAATCCAAGTTTAAATAGTACAACGGAACAATCAAAGAATATTAGGTGATCAATCAAAAACCGGTCTGAATAAATCAATGTCACGTCATTTCATTTCGTTCAAAGTGATTCATAAGGGATATGTATGTAATTTTGTGTGTATGTATGCATTGTTAATGACGAAAAATGTGTGACCTTTGTAATGACAAAGGATAGAGTTTAATTTGTAATGTAATGGTGTGAGATTGTAAATAATATTAGACTGGTTGACTAGGATAGATAGTCCAAGTGGGATGTATGGTAAGGCCTTCTTTTCTATTGAGGGCCGTAGGATTAAGCATTATATGGAGAGCTTCTGCTACTCTTCTTTCTTTGTAGTTAGAAAAACCTTTTTGTAGTATTTTGATATTTTTGAAATCAATTTGATGACTGTTGAAAATGGCGTGAACTGCTATTGCCGATTTAATCTGAAGTCTATCTAATTCTACAGGATTATTAGGCGGTTTCTTTGTGTACCTGATATGTTCTTTAGCGCGCGTTAAGATTTCGCGAGATGACTCTCCAATATAGAAGGCATCACAATCGACACAACCTAATTTGTAGACGCAGTTCTGTGTCGACATGAATGGTATTTTTTCTTTTAATCGAACTAAAGTATTTCGAAGTGTGTTAGTTGTTTTGTAATATACTTTAATTCTGTGTTGTCTTAATATCCGTTGGAGTTCTTCAGTTGTGCCATGACGGTATGGTAAGACTGCAGTACCAATCCATGGCAGTTCATTCGAATTATTATTATTATTGTGTATTGAATTGTCTTGTTTTAATATACTTCTAATAATCTTCATAGGAAAATTATTAAATTGTAAGATGCTAATTATATTCTTTTGTTCTTTTTGTTTGTCTTCTTCTGAAGTGATGATCTTGTTGGCTCTTCTAACAAGATTTAAGGCTAACGAAATTTTAGCACTGAAAGGATGTGCTGAATGGAAGTCGATGTAACTGCCATGATGAACTGGTACTGCAGTCTTACCATACCGTCATGGCACAACTGAAGAACTCCAACGGATATTAAGACAACACAGAATTAAAGTATATTACAAAACAACTAACACACTTCGAAATACTTTAGTTCGATTAAAAGAAAAAATACCATTCATGTCGACACAGAACTGCGTCTACAAATTAGGTTGTGTCGATTGTGATGCCTTCTATATTGGAGAGTCATCTCGCGAAATCTTAACGCGCGCTAAAGAACATATCAGGTACACAAAGAAACCGCCTAATAATCCTGTAGAATTAGATAGACTTCAGATTAAATCGGCAATAGCAGTTCACGCCATTTTCAACAGTCATCAAATTGATTTCAAAAATATCAAAATACTACAAAAAGGTTTTTCTAACTACAAAGAAAGAAGAGTAGCAGAAGCTCTCCATATAATGCTTAATCCTACGGCCCTCAATAGAAAAGAAGGCCTTACCATACATCCCACTTGGACTATCTATCCTAGTCAACCAGTCTAATATTATTTACAATCTCACACCATTACATTACAAATTAAACTCTATCCTTTGTCATTACAAAGGTCACACATTTTTCGTCATTAACAATGCATACATACACACAAAATTACATACATATCCCTTATGAATCACTTTGAACGAAATGAAATGACGTGACATTGATTTATTCAGACCGGTTTTTGATTGATCACCTAATATTCTTTGATTGTTCCGTTGTACTATTTAAACTTGGATTAATATTAATTTGGTTATTTATTCTCTGAAGAAGTGGCTTACACTGAGTCACGAAACGTCAGAAAATCTAATTTTTCTACTCATTGGGATATTACAAATATATAATTTATTTATTAACTATTTGGTTTGACAATCCTAAATTTACATGCATTAAACTATGTACTTTGCCTTTAACCTGGCCAATTTTTCGGATTATTAATTTGGATATATAATTGTAGAACCTGAAGAGAATTTATCGAAAAGAATATTCTTCGTTCAAATATTAGTCTTTTAATATGATTGGGATTTTTAAACGATTAAAATGTTGTGAACAACCCATTGCGTTGAAGGTGCTCAATGAGTTCCTGAAGTATAACGTAAAGTTCACTGAAACGAAAACTACAATTGATTTTATTAACAAGTGCATCGAGTCAGGTCACTATCCGAAATTGTACTATACATCACTGCGACGCAACGGTGTCTACCCCAATCGGAAAACGCTGAAACGTCACGCCCTAAATCAGATCGACGCCCTGCATTCAGACATAAATGAGATACAGATGAATGTTTTCCGCAGAAAGTATGCAGTGGATGACTTAACGGAGGAATTAAAAATACCTTTCATGAACTATGTTACTAATGTTATGGATCATAGATCAGGAAATAAACTCATTCAGCTTTTGAAAGGTCTGGAACATCAGACAGCTGAAAGCAAATTTCCAACGGACTCTAAAAGGTATGTCCATAATTTATCGGATGTCGAACTGGATAACGATAAACTAGAGGTATTATCCTTAGGTCTAAAGTTTTGTGATACCCGTAATAATTGTAACCACATAGATACTGATATACAGTTTGAGAATCTATACAGCCAGACACGTGATTTAGTGGCTAATTCTGATCAACAACTGGAGCACTTTAAATCTACTCTTGTGGACTGTTGCTACCAGTATAAAAACAATAAATTTAATTACAAAAGTATTCTTACAAAAAGGCATAAGGAAGCTATTAACGTTCTCCTAAAGGATGAGACGTTATTGATTACGAAACCTGACAAAGGTTCAGGAGTGGTTCTTCTCAATAAAAACGATTATATTGATAAAATGGGGACCATCTTAAATGACAAATTGAAATTCCAAAAAATAACTAACCATAAAGATCTCAATATGAAAATAGAGAAAGAGCTTACTAGTTCTTTGAAGAAGCTCAGAGACAACCAGACTATTTCGTCTGGTCTATATGAAATGATTAAACCAGTTGGAACCTATCTGCCAAGACTGTATGGATTACCAAAGGTACACAAACCGGGGATCCCATTACGACCTATTTTAGATATGTATAACTCTCCTTATCATACTATAGCTAAATGGTTGGTAACTTTATTGAAACCTCTCCACGAAAAGCTGGTAAAACATAGTGTTAAGGATGTATTTCAATTTGTTGACAAAGTAAAAAATGTCAATACTTTGGGACTAAAGATGATGTCTTTGGATGTAACATCACTATTCACGAATGTCCCACTTCTTGAGACAGTAGAATATATAGGGGAACAACTGATTGAAAATAAAATTGAAACTACTGTTCCGATTAATGTCTTGAAAGAGTTATTACTGAAATGCACCATGAATGTAAATTTCAAATTCAACGGTGACATATTTAGACAAACAGATGGTGTGGCAATGGGTTCACCTCTGGGCCCTATACTAGCTGATATATTTCTAGCTAAATTAGAGAATGGTCATCTGAAAAAGATTATTCAAGAATTCAAATTTTACTGCAGATATATGGATGACACATTCATCCTGTGTAAAGATAATATTTCACAACAAGATGTGCTTAGGCAGTTTAACGAAGTGCATCCAGCCATCCAGTTTACATCGGAGGAAGAGAGTGATGGCCGATTAGCCTTTTTAGACGTCCTCTTAACTAAGAGATCTGATGGATCGTTAAGAAGAAACATGAACAGAAAAAGTACTTGGACTGGGCAGTATACACACTTCCTAAGCTTTGTACCTCTACAGTACAAACGAAACCTAATCAAGACCCTTAGCTATCGAATACGCACTATATGTTCGGCGGATGTAGTTGACAATGAGCTAAACACATTGCATAATGCTCTAAGGGAGAACGGATATCCCAGAAAATTTATAATTAAATATATGATCTTTAAAGTGAAAATAGGCGAATTCCAAACGGTCAAGAAAAAGTCCTTGTTCATGCGCCTACAATTCAGGGGGGATGCCGCTGGCGAAATACTTGCTCAGAGATTACGCAGATCTATCCAAAAATCTTTCAACGCAGGTGAACTACGTTTGGTGTTTTCTACGCGTCCGATGGTGACACCGAGGTTTAAAGATGAAGTTCCTAGAATGACCACTTCATTTTGTATTTATCAGTTCGACTGCTCCTGTGGAGCAAGTTATATTGGTCGAAGTTCTAGGAATTTACATTTTCGTGCTCGTGAACACCTCCCAGCGTGGCTAAGCAAAGGTCTGATGAAGAAAGTAAACAGCTCGATTTTGGCCCATTTAGTACAAACTGGTCATAGTGCCAGTATAAACCAATCTTTTTCAATTATTTATAGGGTCAGTAATTTTTTGCCTAAGCTTGTCAGGCTTAAAGTCCTTCAAACGGCGGAGGCAGTAGCCATCAGAATGAAGAAACCTGAGCTATGTGTACAGAAGAAATATCTCCAACCCCTACTTCTCCCTTGGCCAACCACAAGGCCAATTAATGAACAATCATCTTAGCTATTGTATGACCTAATTTGACTATGTACTTACGACCTTTCGTAGTCAAATGTAATTGTCTCTCTTATCTTTATTCACAAATCTTTGTATTTTATTATTATTATTATTATTATTATTATTATTATTATTGGTTAAATATCATTATTAATCCCCCCTAGACATGATTCATTCACATCGCATTGATCCCTCCTTATTACGTCTCACTAATTTTTCACACATTTAGTCTTCCACTTGATCGAATTGTAATTGCACTATCATATCGCTCT